GTGGGGAAGGGTGTGAGGCTGTGGTGGTAGTGGGGGGGGGGCTGTAGGAGTCACTAAATTGAGCGACCTCTGCTTTTGCAGTCGCTGTGACTGAAACGAGACACAAAGCAGAGGACCCCCCCTCACTCCCTCCAACCAACCCCCCCCCCCCCGGGCCCCCTCCATCGCCGATCCCCACAATTTACTCCACGTCTCCTAATACCCCCCCCCCCGCACCACCATCACAGCCCACCGCGTTCGCGACATCCGCCACGCACACGCGGGCTGGGATGACTGGTGCACTCACAGAATCCGCGGCGAGAAGTTGAGAACCCGCTTGCTGTCCTGCCATCTCCTGGCCAAATCCTGAAGCTTCCGCGTGATCAAGCACCGTGAGAGAGGGCGACGACTCGTATGTACTACGTATGTCGAACTTCGTTCGCACCGTACCTAGCCAACCGTGCTAATCGGAGGTGCGGGGGAAGGACAATAAACTGCAACACAAAAAGCAGTTCTAAGTAGTTTTCAATCTAGATTTAAAAGTGCATCTTAGCTCCAATGGCTTCCTAATATCGGATGAATTGTATTGTAATTGAGGTCTTCATTTAGCAGTGGATTGACCATGGCTTATGCTGCTGCTGTGGACGATTGCGAACTACACACAGAGTAGAAATACGTGATATACAGTTGAGTAGTTGCGTCCTTTATTAACCCCAGGCAAGTCTCCCGACGTTTCCAGACTTGTTCCGGATGGTCCTGCTGCTATGCAATGCGTGGTTTGGCCAATGCCACAAACGAATGTTTGGCAAAGTTAGTCGCTCCTGTCGCACTGGAACGTTCGGTGTGGCAACGTACAGTGCGAAAGAAGTTCAACATACAAGGACTCATCTACTTACGAACGAGTTACGTTCCAGAGGTCTGTTCGTTAGTCGATTTGTTCAACTTTACGTCGTCGATTTTCAACGTGTTGTCAGGCATGTACACTGAACACGGGGAATGGCTTTAACAGTTGGATAATCTGCGGTAGATGCCACTGGTGCTTCATGTTCTGCAGATGTAGATGCCACTGGTTCTTCATGTTCTCAAGAAGTAGATGCTACTTGGTTCTTCACGTTCTGTAGATGTAGATGCCACTGGTTCTTCATGTTCTGTAGATGTATATGCCACTGGTTCTTCACATTATGCAAGTGTAGGTGCCCCACCACCGCCATCTATTGCGCGGCGGTTGAACTTACGGTCCGAACAGGCAAACTGGACATACGGGGCAGGTTTGTGCGTATCTCTGAAAGTTCGTAAGTCGAATGTTCGTAAGTAGAGGAGTCCCTGTACGTACGTGGAAGTAAACGGCAGAACCGGGAGGGAAAGTGAAGGCGCGTGAAGGAAACTCGACGGTCTCCACAGATCGAGAGATTCAAGAATCTGCGTGTTTGGACTGCCATCTCCTGCCCACTGCGAAGCCCCGCAGTTGGGTTGGGAGCCTCACAAACCCCCCCTCGCGTCATCCACCAACCCCTATATTGCTCCAAAGTGCTGGATCATTGGCGAATACTCTCGGACTGAATAAAATTCGATTTCGTCAATCGACAAGTGTCCGTCATTTGTCACTTGCGTGAACGCGAATGTTCCTTCAAACCGAACGTTCGTAAATCGAGGGATCCCTCCAGTTGCACAAGTCACTTCACCAGGAACGAGTCTCAAAACTCGCTTTTTTCCGGAGGGTCTTGCCTGGTTTTTTAGCAGTAGGGGGCGATGTTGATTTGGTAATTTCCAAGTGTGTATTTTTTTATTGCAATGGGGGATGTGGTTTTGACCAATACCGGTCACAACTGTGATTTCCTTTTGTTTTTGCTATGGGAGGCAAACAGGAATAAACCCAGAGGAAACCCATGCTGAACAGGGAGAGAAGATACGTGCATTGCCGTTGTACCATTCGCTTTTTGGCGTCCTCTGGTCTGACACTGGTGGTGAGACAAGGCCACACAGAAGGCTCTGGTGTAGGCCAATCAGTTTCAAAGACAATGCCATCTATAATTATCAAAGCATTTTGTGTTTGTTTTGCCACAAGTGCGTGTGGTTGATGCAGACTTGATTCTTTGCAACATCTCAACATCTCCTGTTTAATTGGCAGAAAGGGTAAAAGCTATTATTTTTCTTTCATACAAACGCCACGCAGAAAGGCGCCCAAGTTGGGTAATCGAACCCAGGACTTTCTTGCTCCAGTGTGACCACTGCGCCTCCCTCCACTGCTGGATGGCGCCCTCCCCACGCCGTCCATCTCCAGCCCACGAGCTGCTTGCATTGCTCCGTTGTTCAGTAGCCAGTTAAGCTGATTTTATTTCGTGGTCGACTACTCGAGTTGATGATGGTCCATAACGTCACCAAGCCCCGCCCCTCACCTCCCGTTCAGCGGCACAACGAGGGAATAGAGGCCAGGCTTCCCCCTCACTATTTTCATATTCGTCGAGTAATCGAAGCGATGATCGGTAGAGCCGCCTTTCGCTGACCGAACTTGTTGGCGACGCCGATACCCAGAAAATATGCCAACGTTGCACCAACGTTGGCATGGGGTTGGAAACGTTGAAGCAACCTTGGTCCAACGTTCCTCGCATGTTTACCGGGGTAGGTGGACGCACGCTGGCAGCCCACTCGTGGCCAACTTCCAACTCCGTCTGTCATTTCCCGAGACAATTTGTGCTGCAGGCAATTATGTTTGTCATCGTTCGTTCGGTTTTGCTCAGCATGTGACGAAGTTGTTTTGTGTTGTTTGTTCTCATTGCTATTATGTTTGCAATACACGTTGGTTCTTTCGGTAAAGTCACGTAGAAAGGAAAAATAGATTAAATAATAGCATACGAAGTTTCGATTGCAACACAAGCAATCATCATCAGGTACAAGTGAAAGAGAAAACAAACCTTGTAAACTTAGAAATATAATGCAATACAACACAGAGAGTCGGCCAACACAACAGTCAACACCCCACCTGGTTGATTAAGGTTCTTCCAAAGATTGCTAAATTTGAGAGAGAGACAAAACACAGACACGGAGGCACATAGTCCCGATTATGCCTCGTAGCTCCCTCAATACACTCACCTCGAGCGCTCTCAACTCACGTTCACCATTGTCATTTATCCGAAGCGACCTGGCCACAAACGGTAGCCCGACAAAGTGGCTTATCACGTGGATATCTATAGCGGCCAAATACTCTCAGCGCATGTTTCTAAACGTGGAGGGGGGAAATCGGATGACCCGAAGAAAAATCCACGCGACCATTGGAAGAAGAAGAACCCACGACCTCCTGTATACCAGGTGAGGTAGTTAACATCTCGCCACCGCGGTACCACTTAAATGTACGGATAGCACAGATACAACACAGTTGTAATACAACAGCAACTGGGCATGTCCGTCAATAACGCTGTGTGGCCTCAACATTGTTTTAATAGGCGACGTTTCGGGCAATGGCCCTTTTGCGCAGAGCACACAGAGGCCAGAGAAGCAGAGTGAATAATAATAATAATACATGCTGTATCAAGTTGCTGTCCAACCTTGCTTTACTACCTTACTGATGACTATTGCTTATAGCATGACGAGGGAACCCCCAGTGGCATTTGTTAAACAGGCCGCACCCTGCTGATGAATCACCGAAGAGTTTAAACCGCTGAAGCGATTTCAGCTTCAATCAATTGCAGCTGTAGGCTATTGATCTGGAAGTTCGATGTGCTGATGGGCAACGCGTACTACTTACTGCGATACTACCGATCTCGAGCGCATTCAGGTCGCCCATCCAAGTACTAGCCAAGATCAACCCCTTTTTAGCATTACGCGTGATTTGGTTATATGCCGGTGAATAACGAGCATCATTAACAATTACAGTAGTTTTGATTTAAAGCTTTTGTGAGTGCAGGGATTCATATTCTTGGTTCTTTCGGTAAAGTCACGTAGAAGGGAAATAATAAAATAATATCAATATAAAACAATACAAATTCTCAAGACGTTTCGACTGTAACACAAGCAATCATCATCAGATGTGAAATCCACAGCAAGACAATAAAAAAAAACGTCGTGAGAATTTTTATTGTTTTATATTTATATTATTTTATTATTTCCCTTCCACGTGACTTTACCGAAAGAACCAAGAATATAATGACAGTAGTGTCAGTGGCGTGGTGACGACATTATCCGCTCAGGGGGTGCGGCAATTGGTCAGGTGGAGCCTCAATATTTGATTTGTCTCGCACGGTCGCACCTCGGCTCCTCTTGCCGAATCACATAATTGAACAAGCGTTTTGTTCTTTTACACTGTTGTTGAGAATCGTATCTCGTGGCGGTTGTCAAGGGGGCCCCAACTCGTAGCTTTGGTCAACCCCTGCCCTCACGCCGCGAGTTACCCTCTTTGCAGTGACAATACGGTAGTCAGCTTTTGTTCACTCGGCGTTGCTCTCAACCCGTGGTTCTTCTTCACCTGGGGTGCGCGCACGCCCTGGGGGTGCAAGATGCCCTTTCTGGGGGTACGAGACGTGGCCAGATCTTTTTTCTTTTTAGAAGGTAAATAATCGAAAAGACAAAATAAGCGCGTGCACGTAAGTTACAACATACTTTGCTTCATCAAACCCTGTGCATTCATTAACATTCTTGTACGTGTATTTTTTTTACGATTGAGAAACAAAGGGGGTGCAAGACTGCAGTCAAGGTTTAAGAACCACCGATCTATAAGAACTCTGTGCCACACTGGAAGTGGGAGCCACGCGACTCTCACGTGCTCGCGTGGGGCACGGGGAGAGTTTGTCGCGGTGGGTGGAGGGGGGTGCAGGGATGAGGATGGGGAATCTGCCGGTGTTGGTTATCGTTGTGGGTCAAGGGACGAGAACGGGGGGGGGGGGGGTGGTCAGCGGTAGAACTTCCGAAAAAAACAGGAAAACGTGCAACCCCGTACCCTCCCCCCCCCCGACTCCAACTCCGCCACCCCCCGACTCCAACTTCATCTAATCCCCACGATTACCACCCCCGAACACCACACACACGCGCACAGGAGGGCGCGTGTGATCACACAGCAAGCTCCAGGTGACCTCTTTAACTCGCTTAGCGATGGGTAGACAAAGTTACACGCACATACATCGGAATCAGCTATGAAGCTCTTTTATATAGATTTTTTACAAATGTCCAGGAGAGTCACATATGTCTCGTAGGGAGAGCATGGGGGGGCGGGGGGCAGACAGTGTATAGTTGTAAAACAGATAATGTATTTTAATGTAAATGTGTTTATGTGTGTGTGCCGTTGCGGCCTTCATAGGTGCTCGCTAACAGCACTTGCCCAAAAAGTCAGTTAAGCCTATACGGTGGACCTTCGTCTTTGCGCGCGTGTGTGTGCGTATGTGTGTGTGTGTGCGTGCGTGTGTGCGTGCGTGCGTGCGTGTGTGCGTGTGTGTGTGCGTGTGTTTGTGTGCGTGCGTGTGTGTGTGCGTGCGTGTGGGTGTGTGCGCCTGTCTGTGTGCGTGTGTGTGTGTGCGTGTGTGTGTGCGTGTGTGCGTGTGCGCGTGTGTGCGCCTGTCTGTGTGCGTGTGTGTGTGTGCATGTGTGTGCGTGTGTGCGTGTGTGCGTGTGTGTGTCGCCCTCCAGAATCACCGGGAGACCGAGGATCAACGCTCACAACAACGAGGGCGGAGCGACGGGCGGATAAAATCACAGCGAAGGTGGCACGGAAAGAGTAGTGAAGGTGGTGCATCTGTTGTAGCAGTCACCTCGGACACTTATATAGTACATAATATTTGTTTTTGGTTAGATCGCGTAAATATAAATGCGTCGTTAATCCCGCCACCACCCGACACAGCCAATTGAGTAAGGTTTGTCACGTAAACAGAACTAGTACAGCAACACCGGTGTGTTGGAGAGGAAATCCACAACATTTACAATCTGTGTACGACGTTTCGCCAGTAATTACAACCAGCTTCATCAGGTGGGCAGCCAGATTTGCCAAAGTTGTACTCAGATTGTAAATGTTGTGGATTTGCTCTCCAACACACCGGCGTGCTGTACTAGTAACCAATTGGCATGTTCCGTTGACGTGACAACCCTTACTAATTGGCTGTGTCGGGTGGTGGCGGGTTTAACGACCCATTTAAATTTACGTGATCTAACGTAAAAAAGAAACCTGTATCATGGATGGTCGCGAAAGTTTGCTACGAGTTAAACTTCTTTTGTAACCTCCAATAACATCTGGGGCGAGGCAGAGAAGGGGATCTGTTCCGTGACCCCCTACCAGCAAGCTAGACACTTCACGTGTTACGTATACTCAAAGTGCACCTAGCCTGGCACAAGAGCTGCGGTTAGTTTGCAAAAGGCGGTCAATGTTGTTGTGAAAGTTGAATCGTGGTCAAATCACAACTTGTAAACTACCTCGCCTGGTATGCAGGAGATCGTTGGTTCGATGCCGACCCTGACGCCTGTTGTATATGTGGAGTTTGCGTGTCTCTCTCTCTCCTCGTAGTCGTGTGACATTCTCTCGGTGTCCTCCGGTTTTCCCCTCCACATTTAAAATAAACGTGCGTTTAGAGTATTCGTCTGCTGTAAATGTCCACTTGATGATAAGCCACTTCGTTGAGCTGTCATCTGTGGCCAGGCCGCTTCTGAAAAAGAGCTACTTAGCTCAGTGGGCCTTACCTGGGAAATGTAGTTACACTATTCACGTGAATTACAATTTGGTACGTCGCGTGATTGATTCGTTCACGTGAGAAGTCAATGGATATCAACAACTACAGCATTCTGCGAATTATAAGACGCACATAACCCCCCTTCCCCCCCACTGGATGGAGCTATTCTTCACCACACTGGTGACCTATGGTACGGCTTAGTGAGAGAGAGAGAGAGAGGGGGGTTGGGGGAGAGGTGTGCCCGAGACTGCTTGAGATATCATTCGCTCATGGCGCGCAATCGAGCTGAGATGGTGTAGTCGTTCATGGGCTTTGTTTCACCATACTTCACCACTCTGGTCGCGGGCCGGTTGCTCGAACGCCGGGAAAGCGTTTGGGGAGGAAAAAAAACACCCAGCCGATCGAATGATTTAAAATTTCTCATTTTGTTATTTGACTCCCGAAGGTGCCGCTTCCCTCGCCTGCGTCGCCAACCCCCCGACGCGAGATGTCCGGTAAGGGCTGCGCGCGTGCCGCGTGGGGAGCGGTGGCGCAGCGGTGAGCGCACTGCGCCGCGAACGGCATCGGCGGCCGCTCAGAGCACACCATCAGCGAGGCACCCGTTGAGGTCGACTCAATCGCCTTCTCTGCGCGCGAGTTTGTTGTCCTTCTCAATGCGCCACTGACCAACCCACCCACCGCCCGCGCGCCTCCCGATTAGAGCGGTTTGGCCACGCACGGTGCGAAAGAAGTTCAGCAGAATGCACAGAAGCTACAGGAATCATGACGAGTAGTTTTAAGACCGCGCGCGCGAGAGGGCAACACTCTACCCCCACCCGTATGGATGGTAACAGATGGTGATTAGCCAACTTGCTGTGCTGCCTTCTGGCCAAGGAAGAAGTGTTTTTAATATTAAACGTGCAATTTTTATTTGACCACGTAAGGCCCACCGAGCTATAAAGCTCTTTTTCAGGAGCGACCTGCAATGGGGAGACAAAGGCGGTCGCGCGTGCCGTTGGCTACCCACCCATGCGTCGTTGTGACGTCACCGCAACTTAGTGCAGAACGGCGGTTGTTGTTGTTGTTGTTGTGTCTCTCTATGCGTGTTTGCCTGCACGCGTGTTGCACCTCTACCGATCGCGCAGTTGCACCGCCTGCACACTCGATAGAAGCTACGCCAGTGGCTCGCCGCCCCCATTGCTCGTCTGAGCAGTGAGACGGAGTGACCTGGACGAGGCCGCTCCGCTTGGCGCACGTGGGCTGTAATCCGGCGCTTTGGAGGCAGCGAGGGTTGGTGGTTCACCACGAAAAATGTTGCGAAACTCCCTTCCCGTGGATGCCGAGGAGGTGCCCGTACCCCTGGCTCGCCAGGAGAAGGCGGCACAGCAACAAGCAAATGTGTTCCATCTGTACGGGATCGAGGGTTACCCCCTCGCACAAGGCGTGGGTTTTCTCCAGGTGCTCCGGTTTCCTCCCGCATGCAAACACTCGTCATTCATTGGCCGATAATATCTTAATATATCGAGGACCGCAGAGCTTGGGAAATTGTTGGCTTTGGCTCACCGCGTGGCTGCCTTCCCGCTCGTCCGTGGTTCCTCCTCGCGCTTGTCTGTCGGTATCTCCCTTTGAAAGTGCGTGCATGCTGTGTGGCCAGTTGTGATTCGAAATTGTTATTGTCATTAACATTCTCATGTGTTGTTAACCCTGACCTCTCGCAGGAGGAGAGAGCTCCATGGAGGAGTCCGACACCAAAGCCTTCGCCTACAACCAATTCGGTGAGTCACGGTGCTGAGGTTCGACGCCCATTACGCTGGGGACTGGAGTTGTGTTTACGGAAATGGAGTCATCTAGTTGTAATCGTAATAATAACAATTTCAACTCGTAACACCGTCGCCACCGCACGCTTTTTTTTGCTCATCGCTCTCGGAAGAGAGAGAACGACTCAGAGGCGCTCAGCGGAGGAACCGCAAGACGAGCGGGAAGACAGCAGCCACGCGATTAGCCGACGCCAACAATTTCCCAAGCTCTGCGGTCCTCGATATACGAAGGGGTTATTGGCCAATCAATAATGAGTGTTTACACGTGGGTAGGAAACTGCAGCTTTGTGTGCACGCATGACACATACATGCACACAAATGCAAATGTCCTCCCATGTCGCAGTGCAGGTTGTTGGGGCAAGTGCTGTTAGTGAGCACCTACGACAGATTGTTTTCTGAAGAAGGGCAGTCACTTGAAACATCGAAATGTGTTCTCTGTGTGAGAGTTAAAAAAACCCGAGTTATTATGTTTAATTAATCTGCTCTGCTTTTCTATGAGTTCAATGAAGCAGCGAATGTTTACACTATCGTACGACTTGCACCAAATCAAGCTCTAGTCAGTGGAGTAGCTGCCGAGTGTGCAGGCGGTGCAGCTGCACAGGGGCTGGAGGAGCCCAAGCGCGGGGCTACGAAGAGGGAGGAGGGGGAGAAATGAGACAAGGGTCTCCGTGTCTCAGCCTCTCTCTGTCTCCATTTATTCGTGTCTCTATGTTCCAGTATCTCCGTGTCTCCATGTCTCCGTGTCTCAGTATATCTCCGTGTCTCAGTATCTCCGTGTCTCAGTATCTCCACTTCTCAGTGTCTCCGTGTCTCCGTGTCTCAGGTGTCTCCATGTCTCATGTGTCTCCATGTCTCAGAGTTTCCCTGTCTCCGTGTCTCGGTGCCTCCATGTCTCCGTGTCTCAGTATCTCCACTTCTCAGTGTCTCAGTGTCTCCGTGTCTCCGTGTCTCCATGTCTCAGAGTTTCCCTGTCTTTTATGTTTCCCTGTCTCCATGTCTCATGTGCCTCCGTGTCCGCCGTGTCTCCACGTCTCAGAGTCCCCCTGTCTCCGTGTCGTCTCCGTGTCCCCGTGTGTGTCCTCGTGTTTTCCCCGACAGGCATCTCGGAGCGTGCCACCGAGCACTTGTCTTCAGGAGGCCGCGTCTGCCCCGGGTGTCCCCTCCGTCTCACCGTGCTGATTCTCCTGGCTCTGAGCGGTGCCATCGTCGTCGCCATCGTGGGCAGCGATGTGGCCGGTGCGATTCTAGCCCCCATTCAAATTGGTCAAAAATGTCGTGGGATGCTGAGCCATATTAGCCCCCACCTTCTTCCCTGCCCCCCCGCACCCTCTACTTTAGTTCTTCTTTCCACGACATTCACCTCCACACGTAAAAGTCGATAACATCCCGCTCGCGGTCCCAACTCGGTGGAGGCAGTGATCCCAGCCTCCTACCTCCTCGAAGTTCTGGAGCACGCCGGAGTTTGGGATTTGTATCCGTGGAGTTTTTGTACCTCCCCCTCCTCCTCCTCCTTCCCCCCGACGTCAAGGTTGGTGCTCTGTATCGGGCTCCTGCTTATTGTGTTCGGCGGATGCTTTAACGCAGTTCGGTGCAGCGGATACACAGGGGAGATGATAAAGTAGTTGCATTAGACACGCGGGCATGTCGATGTTGTACGCGAGTGGACGTGAGCCCACGTAGCCGCAGAGCCACGTGACTAATGGCGGAACCAGGATCAGGTAGGGGGGGGCAACCCCTCCAGAAATGAAAAAGGATAGGAGTTGTTAGTAAGTAAGGAGTTGTTCGTAATTGGTTCTTTACCCTTCTATCTGGCAACAAAACTGACACCTTTTTGCAAGGAGTCATGTTTGCATAGACCGCAATACCTGCAGTCATAATACAAACAAAAGAACATAACTCTGACAATGCACATTATCAGAGTTATGTTCTTTTGTTTGTATTATGACTGCAGGTATTGCGGTCTATGCAAACATGACTCCTTGCAAAAAGGTGTCAGTTTTGTTGCCAGATAGAAGGGTAAAGAACCAATTATCATATTTTTACTGGCAAATGAGGTCCCCATAGAGTTGTTCGTAAGTAAGGACTTGTCCCTGGCTTCTTATTCGACGCGTGTGCGGCGATGGCGCAGCCATCGATCGAGTTGTCGAATTCGAACCGCGCTGTGTGATCGGCATCGCGCTCGCTGAAGGTGAATGCCTTCAGGGAAGTCGTGTGCTGTAGACGCAACTGCGCACAATTCTGTGAGTCACTTATAACCGCTTTGCCGTTACCTAATGCCAATTATAGACTCAGACTATTGTCCTATCATCTTATATAGTCCCTGGCATGCAATAATATGCTACACAGTGGCAGTGGGGGTCGCAAAATGCCGATGTATTATTAATAAACGCCAATGATCCGATCGAAATTAGGGATTTCGATCGGATCATTGGGGGGGGGGGGGGGCATCCTTCTAGGGGAAAGCGTGCAAAATAAGCGCGGGGAGTTGCACGCTTAGAATGATGGAAGAGATCAAAAGGGAGGAAGGAGGTGGTCGAGACTAACTGCGGAGTAGCAGCCAAAGGTGGAGGGGAAAAAATCACGCTCCGGAACCACAAAATGAACCGGCGTGCGAGATGGATTGTTACATCACACGACCGTGCGAAGATGACTACGGCTTGGGGATGTCTTCATCCAGCAGTGGATTGATCGTGGCTGATTGATGATGATGGTGATCCATTTTAACCACCCCAGTGCTGCAGATGATTGGCTTCGTGGCGAGTGACGTCAGCGAGGAGCAGACGAAGCGGGAGAATCAGCTGAGCGACGTGGATTCACACGTGAAGAGCATCGGTGATGCAACGCATACACAATACATATGCACCGCATACACAACGCATACACACCGCATACACAATACACATGCAACGCATACACAACGCATACACAACACACATGCAGCGCATACACAACGCATACACAATACACATGCACCGCATACACAACGCATACACACCGCATACACAATACACATGCAACGCATACACAACGCATACACAACACACATGCAGCGCATACACAACGCATACACAATACACATGCAACGCATACACAATGCATACACAACGCAAACACAACACACATGCATACACAAACATATACACAACACATCAACAATAATACAAAATGCATATGCAACGTATGCACAATACATACACAACACATTCCTAACGTATACACACCATATAGAAATGCATATACAGACATACACAACCCATATACGACACATACGCAATACATACGCAACGCATACACAGCACATACGCAACGTATACATATACACAAAACCTTCTCCCTTGACGCCTTGCAATATGTATCTATTTGGTATTTGTTTTATTGCCTTAAAGAGGAAAGCCTATTCTTATTTTTTGATAAATTTGACACTGGCAAAAAAAAGGTCCCGTTGATATAACTGCTCATCCCGAGATATTATTACAGTGGTTCACCTGCTCATTCACCCACTTGTTCACCCATCTGTTTACGGGCCTGTTGACTCCCTGTTCACCCGCTCGTTCACCCGCTCGTCCTGCCGGCGCACAGAGGAGCACATGTCCTCGCGGCATGCGGCGTTGGAAGGCCTGGTCTCTAACAATCGCCTCGCCGTGCACTCCTTGGACACGCGCATCGGGGAGCTGGAGAACTCCCTTCTGCAGCAAACGCAGCAACAGCTGCAGCAGCTGCAGCAGCAGATGCAACAGCAGCAGCAGCTACAGCAACAGCAGCAGCAACAGCAGCAGGAGCAGCAGCAGAAGCTTCAGCAGCAGCAGCAGGAGCAGCAACAGTTACAGCACCAGCAGCTGCAGGAGCAGCTGACGCAGCAGCTGACGCAGCGGCTGCAGCAGCTGCTGTCGGACGTGAAGCAGCTGCAGCAGCAGCAGCAGGCGGAGCTGGCGGATCGCGCGGAGCGGCAGGAGAACGCGACGGAGGCGCTCCGGGTTCGCGTCGGCGACCTCGAGACGGAGTCGCTGGCGGGGAAGGCGCGCGCCGACGCCGGCGACGCGCGCGCCACGCTCGAGCGCGAGGAACGCGAGGGGCGCGAGCGACGCGACAGGGACGAGAGGGAGGCGAGGGAGGGCACAGAGAGGGAGGAGAGGGAGGCGAGGGAGAAAGCGGCGCGCGACCAGGAGGTGCGCCTGGGCACGCACGTGGAGCAGCTGGGCTCGAGCGTGGACGAGCTGAGGACGCGCCTGGAGGAGGTGGCGCTGCGGGCGCGCCAGGCGGCGGAGAACGCGAGCCGAGCGCTGCGCGACGTGGCGCTGAGCGGCGTGCGGCACGGCGAGGTGGTGCGCAACCTCACCTTGATCCCAGGTGCGTGATGACGCACACGGGATGGCGCTCCACCCCCCCACACCACCCGTAGAGTCAGAAGTCCGAGATGGAGCAGAAAATTGAACAGGAAAGTTTAGTAATAGGTTTTTACCCTTTCGACTGGTACAAAACCGACACCTTTATACAAGGCATCATGTTTGCAATAACCACAACACAAGCAGTTATTGCAAACATGATGCCTTGGATAAAGGTGTCAGTTTTGTACCAGTTGAAAGGGTAAAAACCTATTACTATATTTTGCCACTGGTAAATGAGGTCTCATCGAGTAGAGGAAAGTTTAGGTCCGGCGAGAGGTTTCAGTTTTATTTAGAGGCGGTAACGGCTGTTTTGTAGCTGAAATCGATACTCCTCCCTCTTCTTCTGCTCCAATCCTTCGCAGTCGAGGATAATTGTCTCCCAGCAGAGTGTTATCTGTGTGGGTCCGGAGACGAGCCCGGCAGGGTGACGATGCGGGATTGACTCGCTCCGTAGCCGCAGCGCGGGCTTGTTCTCCGAGTGGGACGCGTGGTGGCCCCTGCGCTGTTGACTCGATGTTGTTGTTGTCATCGTAGAGATGGAGACAATCACAGTGGTGACAATGATAATAATACTCGTGATCTTTTACGGAGGGAAGCTTCACCGAGGCTCCTTTTCACGAGGATACTGCACTAGGAGGTTTGGCCAATTCCATTCATGAAGTGCAGGAGGAGGAAACTGGAGTGTCTGGAGAAAATACACGTGCGTAGGCCGCTTGGATCAAGTACGAACGTAGTTGTTGGAAGGGGAGTCAGACAGGGGGAAACAGAGCCGTGCCCAGAGTATGGCGAGTCGGGGGGATGGCCCCGGGCCCCGCACTTTGGGGGGAAGGCCGCGCTTCAACGTCACGGTACCAGTATAATTCTTCCGGTTTAGTTTAAAGGCGTCGGTTGTGATTTGCCCCGGGCACTGGGGAGATATATCCGCTTCGGCCCAAGTTATTGCAGCAATGTGAGAATATATATATTGTCCTAACAAATGTAAACAAAAGCACGGTGGAATAAATTGAAGGAATATTAACGAATCACGTGACTAATCCTTGACCATTATCAACCCTTCACAGGACCGCCAGGGATGCCCGGACCACGTGGTCAGATGGGGTTCCCTGGGGTCGTGGGACCAGCTGGACCCAAGGGGGACATTGGGGAACGCGGCGCGGTCGGATTTCCCGGTCCACAGGGACCCACAGGTCTCTCGGGCCCAGGGGGGCAAATGGGACTACGGGGCCAGATGGGCCGGCCGGGCAAGCAGGGGTCCGTGGGGGTCCCAGGTAAACCCGGGCCGCCCGGCCCTCCGGGGAAACCCGGCGAGCAGGGGCCAGTGGGGCCAATGGGGCCCCCCGGCCTCCCCGGCTCTCAGGGGTCACCACAGGGGCCACCGCTGGTACCACTGGGGCCAGGGATGATGGAGAATCCCCTTCTGCAGAACATGAGTGCAAGCCTGGCGCCAGGTGAGGTGTTGCCCTGTGGCGGGGTGGGTGTATTGCTTCGTTTCTCTCAAAACAGTGTGGGGTTTGCCGATAGACTGGGGGTATGTGGCACGTGACAGAATGTTAATGATTCGTTTTTTTGTCGTCGTTGTTGCAAATAACTGGGAAGCAGCAACAGTAAGCGGGCAGTCAAATGCCCACTTTAAGGCTGGTGTCTGTCTCAACTTTGTGCCGCATAGGGACAGCTGCCGTAAGTGGGAGTGTGTCCCCTAAGCTTTAATAACAACAAAAAACCCTCTGTGCTCTGAGATGTTTGCTAAGTTTTGTTGTTGTTGTTGTGACTGCCATCTCCATTGCGAGAGGTATACTGGACGTCGTGTGCCGGATGTGGAAAATATTTTCCATGCAGGTCGCTGGTCGACTGGCGTAGACGGCACGTGACATAGCTGTTAGCAACAACAACAAAAACGCAACGCAGCTAAGTTTTTCCCCGGGCTCAGTTGGAGCCAACAAACAAGTGGATATCATGTGGCGTGGGTTCTTGGGCTATGCCAGGTCGTCGGAGTCGTGTGCAGCTCTTTAGCTTCACCCCACAGCTGTCAACCCACGCGGTTTACCCCGTATTCTTGTACAGGGAAACTGAGTCTTCAGGTCCATACGGCGTACAGCCGTTTTGAATACAGGCAACATTTTTTTACTGGTAGGAACCTCCTGGTTCCACCAGCCCACAGGGGATTATTGTGTCCGTCCGTCGTGCAGGGAGGGGCTGGGTGGGGAGGGAGGGCCTGGGTGGGGAGGGGAGGGTGGGGAGGGGCTGGGTGGGGAGGGGCTGGGAGGGGCTGGGTGGGGAGGGTGGGGCTGGGTGGGAGGTGGGAGAGGTGGGGCTGGGTGAGGAGGGGGCTGGGTTGGGAGGGGCTGGTCACCCCATGGTGCCCTTATAAAACTCAACGTTTAACCTACTCACGCCGGCTTGTGCCCGCCCTCACAGTCGGGCATATTTGCGGAATACACCACGCCGCCGTTGACCCTGGCCATTGACCGAGCAACCCAACGTTCCTACGAGCTCCCTCCGCAGGAATGTGTTTTGTCAATTTGTTTGTTTCTCCCTTGTAATGGGACTCTGTAGGATGAACGTTCAGATTTATAAGGGCACGGGGTCAACAATAAGGTCTGAATTGGTCTGTAATAAGATAGTCACTGATAAGGGATTGACAGGTTTAGCTTGACCCTTGCCGCTCTTTGGCTGCACCCATTGCGGGCTGCCGTTAAAAAAAAAAACATCTTAAACGTAATTTGACGTAAAGATAATTTCGTAAATACGTCAGGAAATGGGTCTTGGTGACAACAACATATACAACAGTCAAAATTGTTTTGTTAAAGAATACCCGAGGGGAGAAATAAACTATATAGAAGCAATCTTGATTTGAATCTTGATTATAGACGCACATTTATTCCACCGCCCATGTTGTTTATTTGAGTCAGAATGTGTTTGTCATCTGCTGCTGCTGCTGTGTCCGTACAAGTCGCTCTCTCCGCATGTGATGCGGGGACCGCTGGCGTAGAGGACGGGATGAGACAGAGTAAGAGAATGAGAGAGGCAAGATCATGGAGCGGCGTTCTTCATTGCAAGGCCCGTGGGCCACTAGCGGCCCCTGGTGGCCTTGTTTAGTGCAAAATAAAATTAAAGTTAATAAAAGTAATAATAGAAATAAAATAATAATTTTTGATGATTTATTATTTTGTGATTTATTATTTTACATTTATTTCTATTATTACTTTTATTAATTTTAATTTTATTTTTTACCTACGTGACTTTACCGAAAAAAACCTAAGAGTATGATTCGTTGCAGTCACGAAAGCTTCAAATCTAGAATTGTTTAGTGCAGCCCCCGACAGCACACAAATAGTGAAAACACCGCCATCGTCAGCTGAACACGTAGTAGGCTTTCGCAACTAATATTAGAGCGCTTTAATATATAAATGTTCCGTTAAACCCGCCACCACCCGACACAGTCAATTAGTAAGGTTTGTCACGTTAACAAAACGTGGCCAATTCGTTACTAGTGTAATGTAGGAATTACGGCGGGAGACAACTTGACGGGTAGCACACTTTTATTAACACCAACTTCACTCCACTAACACGTGTGGCCAACTGCAGCCTACGCTACGCGGTTCCCCCGGCTACACACACACGGGCTCTCCCGCCCCGTAGCTTCCAGGGAACCCACCCCGGCTGGGGTATGAGTCACGACCACTGGGTCCCACAGCCTCGCCCTCACAAGGACGTCAGGCCGCGGGTCCCACGGTCTCGCCTCTGAGCCACACAGGGTCCCGGCCCTTACAAGGACAGCGGGGCTAGGGGTCTCAGGGCCCTATCTCTTCCGACTCCGTCTTCGATCTTCACTGGTTACAAACTCCCCCAGCGTCCGTGCGCATCGCCTTTTATAGTCCTCCGCCCCTGGGGAGACGGAGCCTATGCGGACCTCGATGTGAGCCCTAGTTGACCAATCACCACGCGCTGCCACACGATCCCTTTTCCCAGCTTGTGTCAGCGCACACAACCACTCACCACGCGCTGCCACACGATCCATCACTGTCAGCGCGCGTCACCACTATACCACGCGATGTAGCCACACCCGACGCGCTCTCACACGATCCCCCCTTGTCAGCGCGTACCGTCACTACACTAGTACAGGATACTGTATACCGGTGTGTTGGAGAATAAGCCCACTACAACATTTACAATTCGAATACGACGTTTCGCCAGTAATTACAGCGAGCATCATAAGGCAACACCCAGAGTTATAGAGAAATCCTCCTCTCTCGGTCTTGCATAGAGGCAGTAAATGTGATGTCATCACTTGTGGGCCAATCAGGAGCGAAGGCCAGGCGGTTAATGTATACCTATCAATTACAATGGATATCCATTACCGGTTGGTTTGTCATCGCGATGTCAAACCCAATTGTTTAAAATGTGTGGTTGCCCTCATATTGACGTCTTATCAGCGAACGTGCCCCCCTCCCCTCTGAAAATTAGCGAAAAACACTGCCATGGAAGGATTTGTTTAGCGAATTGACTTATCGTCCGAGCTCAAGACAATGTGTTCAAGTTTCATTTATTAGGTGTAGCCCTGCGCGCCATGCGGCTCTTGAGTCGGGTGCAACCGCAACAGACAAAATATGAACAGAAAACATCTTAAAGCGACGACGCGCAACAGAAACATCTTGGATAAACCAGCAAATATTTCAGAAAAAAACACCTTATTACAAAGCTGTGTGCTAGTCAAACAATAACAACCATAAGACAATTTAGATGAAAGTTATCAGGCCAACTCCGCACTTCCGCAAGTAACATGGCTTAACCATATGTTTCCGAAATCACCAAAATAAAGCTATAAAAACAATGTAACAACAATGTAACAACAGTAATCATAGGAACTGTGATTCAAATTTAACAATAAACGATATACATAACATGTACGACCAAACTTGCAGCCGTAGCTGGCAGCATGACACTCCCAGTGTATGATGAGTGAGTGAGTCAGTGGTAGTGTGAGTGAGTGTATGATGTGTGAGTCAGCATATGATGAGTGAGTGAGTCAGTGGTAGTGTGAGTGAGTGTATGATGCGAGTCAGCGTATGATGAGTGAGTGAGTCAGTGGTAGTGTGAGTGTATGATGTGTGAGTCAGCGTATGATGAGTGTGTGAGTCAGTGGTAGTGACTGAGTGTATGATGTGTGAGTCAGCGTCTGTTGTGTGAGTGAGTCAATGGTAGTGTGAGTGAGTGTATGATGTGTGAGTCAGCGTATGATGAGTGTGTTTGCCGTGGCTTTGTCCCAGGACTCAGCTGCCCTGACCGCTGGAAAATCTTCGGGGGTCACTGCTACCTGCTAACTTTGAGGAGGAAATCGTGGGCGGATGCAAATTCCACCTGCCGGAACCTCGGAGGATACCTGGCCATCGTCACATCCATTGAGGAGAAGGTTATTCAACTCCATCATCATCATCGTCATCTTCTTCAGCCATGATCAATTCATTAATGGATTAAGGCCTCCCCTCCCGATCACCATCGCATACATATCTGTGTGTATATGGTTCTGTGGTGTCACAATCCGTCCCACTCCTGAACGTAAACTGATTTCATCGTTCTGTGGTGGTCATGCTCTTTGAGTGCTGTCATTGTCAGCAGTCTTGTCCATCGGCCAAAATTCTTCTAGCAATCATCCCGTCTAGCAATCATCATCCATTATAGCAATAAACCATTCTAGCAATCATCATCCCTTATAGAAATCATCCCGTCTAGAAATCATCCCGTCTAGCAATCATCTCATCTAGCAATCACCATCCCGTCTAGTAACCATCCCGTCTAGCAATCATCCCCGCTAGAAATGATCCCGTCTAGCAATCATCATTTGTTCTAGCAATCATCTCATCTAGCAATCATCTCATCTCGCAATCATTCCTTCTAGCAATAATCCCTTCCAACAGTCACCCTTTCTAGAAATGATCCCTTCTCTCAGCAATCCTCTCTAGCAATCATCCCTCCTGGCAATCAGCATTACTGCTTATAAATTATTATAACCTCAATGTGCCCGATTGTATTCGATCTTAAAGCTATGCAGGACTGAGTCTGGTTTGTATGCGGAAGGGTAACCAGCAGTGCATCCTCCAACTGTCCATGTGTGTGTGTCTTTGTGGTGTTCATGTGTGTGTGTCTCTGATGTTCATGTGTGTGTCTCTATGATGTGCATGTGTGTGTGTCTCTGTGGTGTTCATGTGTGTGTGTCTCTGTGATGTTCATGTGTGTGTGTGTCTGTGTCTGTGGTGTTCACGTGTGTCTGTGATGTTCATGTGTGTGTCTGTGATGTTCATGTGTGTGTATCTGTCATGTTCATGTGTGTGTGTCTGTGGTGTTCATGTGTGTGTGTCTGTGATGTTCATGTGTGTGTCTGTGAGGTTCATGTGTGTGTGTCTCTCTGTGATGGCCATGTGTGTGTGTGTTACTGTCTCTGATGTCCATGTCTGTATGTGTGTCTCTCTCTCTCCCTCTGATATCCATGTGTGTGTGTGTGTCTCCTCCATGCAGGACTGGCTAGCGTTTGTGGGGAAACGCCGATCATATTACCTGGGCCTGCACGACTCGGTGGTGGAGGGGCGCTGGGAATGGGTGGACGGATCTCCCGTGTCCGAGCCCACGTACGGGAAACACAATTCATTGGCAGCGCCAACACAATTCAGTCAAACGCGACCCAGCGCAATGCAACGCAGCCACAGTGCAATAAACCACCGCGACCCAATGGAGCGTAGCCCAAATGCAATGTGGCGTAATTCAACACAACGCAACGCAGCGCAATGCATTGCAGTGCGGCACATTGGAATTCAACGCGCGGAACCCAATGCGATGCGGTGCAACTCGATAGAATGCTACGCGATGCGACGCGATGCAATGCATTGCTGCGTAATCCGATGCTGCAATTCGACTTAATACAGGACAACACTATGCAATGTTACCATGCAAATATTAACAAATATTAACAAATATTAACAACCCAATACTTTGCAACCCAATTTAGCGCAGACCAATGCAACGCAACATACTGCTACGCAACATAATGCAATGATACATTTCCATTTAAAGCTTTCGTGACTGCAGGGATTCATCTTCTTGGTTCTTTCGGTAAAGTCACGTAGAAGGGAAATAATAAAATAATAAAAATAAAACATAATAAAATACAATTCTTACGACGTTTCGGCCACAACGCAAGCAGCCGTCCTCAGGTGAAGAACATGGCTGTCGGAAAGACAGCGTCATTCGGATAATGCAATGATGAAAGTGATGTTGATGCTTATAGTAATAACAACACCGTTGCTGCCAGCGATTCATTTCTCACTGAATATTTCTGTTTGTTTGTCCTGGGCCGCTGCTAGACGACAGTCGGTGGCATGTGACTAGTCGCCACATCCATAGAGAGAGGCATACTGGATGTGGTGTGCTGGGGGTGGAAATAATCTTTGCGGGTCTTTGACCCAAACAAAACTCGGATAAAATGAATCGCCTGGCTGCCCGTGATAATGATTTTTACGTGAGCTGATAAGGCCGTTTTCCAAGGATGACTGACCACCTTCCAATCCCGATGTTCTCTCTCGACCCGACACGATCCCACATCCCTCCACCCCGTCCACCCCCAACCCCCGTTGCGGTGAAGGTTTTGGCACGAGGGGCAGCCGGACAACTGGGCGCACGCACTGGAGGGGCGCGAGGACTGTGGGGGGATGAAATACGACGGCGACTGGAATGACTACAGCTGCAGCGAGGCGCTCGGCTTCGTGTGCGAGCGGGAGCCTGAGAGCCTGGCCCCGACTCGCTCCCCGTGAACCTCTAACCCTGGATGTCGCCTCGTCACCGTCAACGTCTTTACCTACCCCCTCCACGCCCCACGTGACCATGTTTCCCGTCACGGTGTGACGTCGACGCTCTGCGGTGTGACGTCCATGCCTTGCGGTGTGACGCTGACAGTCTGCGGTGTGACGTCAATGCCTTGCGGTGTGACGCTGTCAGTCTGTGGTGTGACGCTGAAGCACTCTTGGAAGCTGACCTCTCCACGCCCCCACTCCAATGACTGTGCTGTCATCTTCCAACGCAGCAGCAGCATATCTGCTGCGTTCTCTCAGCCATGTGTTCCTCTTCCTGTCGCTCAGTCTAGTTCCAAATACGCTCCTGTCCTCGCTTCTTCACGCACTATTCATTTCAGATTCCAAGTCGTTTGTTAGTGTCTGTTTTTCCGGTCCATATGTCTGCACCGGAGCCCACAGGGCCAGGCAGGGCAAGGCGCCGGGTTACAATGTGGAGAGAAATCAAGACAGGGGGCTCCATTTCATGTCCTGAGCGAGGGCATCATGCCAACCCCATCACGCCACTGTCTCAATGATGCTCTCTCTACGTGACTTATTTATCCCTACGACTCAATCACCACAATGCTCCATTACCACCATCATGCCATCCCCATATCTCCAAATCACCTGATCTCCTGGTTTACCTTATCTTCCCGATGCCTATCTTATATCCTAGCGAACCCCGTTGCTTCCAAACGTCCAAACGTGCACACACGTCAACTTATCCTCACGCTGTGGGACGCAGCATTCACGGGCCTGTCGTGTGAGCGTGTTGTTGTTTTTATTCGTTTACACGATCTCGTAAGTGTCTTCGATCTAAAGTTCATTGAGATGATCATTTGTTCAAATGTAGCCACCGCTACGAATTAAAACGTGTACTGCGATCCTGATTTGTGTACGCACACGGGCCTAATCATTGAAATCGTAGCTTTAGGAGTGACGCCTCGTATGATGAGACGTGACTACGACCGTCAGCATCTGATCGGCGGAGATCTCCTAGTGTCCTCCGCGCCGAGGAGAAATCAAATCGCAGTGTGTTCAAATGGTTAAATAAAGTGCATTGCATTTCATGACGTGTGAATGTGTTTGTGATCATCACGCACTCCGGAGTATAGTTCTGCTACACGTATCTGCTTACATAAGACACCTGAGGGACGTTTCCCTGTTGGCATGCAATACAAGTTGTGTTTATATGGGGCCTGAATTAAAACCGCGTCACATGACTCTGTTTGAAATGGTGGGACATGGGCACGGGGGAAAGGATGCAATGTTATATTTTTTTAATACACAGAAAGAGGCAGTCACAGGCAGATGATGGCAGATGAGACGCGGAAGGTCCTGAGTCTGGACTTGATCAAGGGCAGGGAGTCGACAGCAGTGCTGGATTAAGCTAGTGTGGGGCCTGTAACATATGTTATTAAGGGGTCCTAAATAAAAAAATATGAAATCGCAAATGTTTTACTTGCATAGTAAAGTAATTGTATTTTTTCATTTTCTATACAGCCAGGTAATATACAAATCGCGAACGTTAAACACCCAGTCATTCATAAAAGCTGAAGGCAGTTTGGTACTATAGCAATAGAGCAAGTGCAGAATCACTGAACCGGAATTGATCGCTTGAAAGCATTTAGCGCGGGGCCCTTGAACGTGCGGGACCCGGAGCATATGTAGCTTCTTTTTCTACTAAGGATAATCCGGCACTGGTCGACAGCACGGATGGCTCGGGGAAGGGATTTCCAGAACGCAAGGGCAGCGGAGGTGAGAAGATCGACCGGGGAGCTTCAATAGAACGCCTTGGTGAAGTACGGGGTGCGTGGAGGAGAGTAGAGTGAGGAGATAAGTAGGAGAGTGTGTGGAGGAGATTAGAGTGAGATGAGAGACAGGGGAGAGTGCACAGAGAATATTGAAGACAGCAGTTCGTGCGATATAGAAATTGACCTTAGGATCCAGTGGAAAGGTTGGGATCATTGGAGTTTTGGTGCGATGTGGTCTCGTTTACGAGCGTGGGTGAGTCGTCTGTCGAGGAAGTTGTTGATCATGGGGAGGCCGTGGAGGAGAGAGTTGCACGGGTCGAGTCGGGATGTGTGGTGGATGAGGGTCTCTGTCTCAGCTGGGTGGTGTAGTGAGAAAATAACAGACGTGGGAGGTGTTGCACAGATGGAAATATGAGGTTCTGTGGAGCCGAAGAATGTGCTGATTTAAGTAAATAAACTCGTTGAATCGTAATCTATTCTTTGGTTCTTTCGGTTCAGTCACGTAGGTAGAAAAAAAAAACAAAATAAAATAAATCACGACGTTTTGATCGCAACACAAGCGGTCGTCCTCAGGCTGAAAAAATTATCCAGCAGTGGAACTGCTGAACCAGCGAGAGAGCTGTTACAACAAGAGGTTATATATGTGGCGATGGGCAAGCAAGCGGGGTCTGAGCTGGAAAGGAATTCCATCCACGGACGCAAGCACGTCAGCTGTGTTAATGGGGGAGATTAGGGAGAGAGAGATTAGGGAGAAAGATGAGCATGAATGAGCTTGCGTCGTCTGAGGACGACCGCTTGTGTTGCGATCGAAACGTCGTGATATATTATTTTTTATTTTGTTTTATTTTTCTACCTACGTGACTTTACCGAAAGAACCAAAGAGTAAGGATTCCTGCAGTCACGAAAGCTTCAAATCAAGATCGTAATATATTGCTGAGTCAGTCGCCGCGTGAGTAAAAAAAAACAACGCGTGTCGTACACCCTCCGCCACCAGACACGGCCAAATAAGTGAAGTTTCCACGTGAAGAGACGTGCCAAATAATGATTACTCCGGTACAACGGTGTGTTGGAGAGCAATTCGCACACGTTTCACAAATTGGCACAATTGTTGATAGATTTTAGTTTTATTTGGCTGCGCCGGGTGGAGGAGGGTGTACGTCACATATTGGTAATTTACTCACGCAGCGATATGACCAACAATCAATTGGGAATCATATCTGCCGCGAGAGCCTACATGTGGAATCTAAGCAAAGTGAAACTGATATTCTTAGGTTTTTTCGGTAAAGTCACGTAGGCAAAAAATAATAACAATAGCTAACCTAAGAGTATGAATCCTTGCAGTCACGAAAGCTTCAAATGTAGAATTAATGCCCTATACGGGGAGGAATTTCACCTATCTGTTAAAGTTTTTAACAGACAACGAGACAAGAAGTCACAGCTATTGTTATTATTATAATTTTTTACCTATGTGACTTTACCGAAAAAACCTAAGAGTATGAAGCCTTGAAGTCACGAAAGCTTCAAATCTAGAATTAAAGTGAAACTCACATTTAAGAGGCCTTATCTAACCGGAGAGAGCACAACAAATTATCAGCTGGTTCAATTTGTAAACTTCCGTCAGCTTGTTTGCAAAGACTAAATTAGCCAGATGACTGCAAAAAAAAGTTGTTTTTGTTGAACTTCCGTGAATTGTGATGAAGAGGAAAGATTAACTAGCAAGACGGGGTTTGTGTCACGTGTTGTTATGAAATGCAAGGGGTTTTTGACCATTACCACCCCAACCCACCATTATTGTGCTCGGCTCGTACAGGCATCTCGTGTTCACCTCTGCCCTGAAAAAGGACCATTGCCCGAAACATCGCCTATTAGCCGGGCGGTGATGGCAATGCTTGCCCGTTATCCAGCACCGTCAGAGGTTCGCACAAAATGTTGTTAGAACTCCCTTATAGTGGGCACCGAGGAAGTGCCATGAACCCCGGCTCGCCAGTCAAGATGTGGAAACCCCACTTGTGTCGTCTGTATGGGATAGAGCTGGGGTCGGCAAACTGCCGCATGCGGCTCATCATGGAATGTTTCGTGACCGTATTTATTAAGGCACCGTCTCGTATCCACAATGCATTGCGGCTCTTACAATATTGAGGTTTTTTTTTGTTTTGTTTGACCGAATTTCAAACCAATGGCACTTCTTGTTATTTCGCTTGCCGACCCCCGGTCTAGAGCGTTTCCCCCATGCACTCGTGGGTTTTCTCCAGCTTCTTTCCCACCACATGTAAACACCCATTAGTTTGTCAAGTAACATCCTAATATATAGAGAACCGCAGACCTTGGGCACTTGCTGGCACGGGCTGACGGCGTGGTTGTTGCCCTCTTTACCCTCGTCTGTGGTTCCTCCTCCTGCCGCCTCTGAGTCGTCCTCTCTTTACGAGAGTGAGGAGCGAATGCCGTGCGGTGACAAGTTGATCATAATACTGGTCGGAACCTCCTGGTTCCACCAGCCTACAGGGAATTTATTGTGTCCGTCCGTCCGTCGTGCATCCAGAAATGGGAGGGGTGGAGCTGGGTGGAGAGGGTGGGGCTGGGTGGGGAGGGGATGGTGGGGAGGGGCTGGTCACCTCGTGGTGTCCTTATAAAACTCAACGTTTAACCTACTCACGCCGGCTTGTGCCCGCCCTCAAAGTCGGGCATATTTGCGGAATACACCACGCCGCCGTTGACCCTGGCCATTGACCGAGCAACCCAACGTTCCTACCAGCTCCCTTCGCAGGAATGTGTTAATCATTACTGAATACTTTTTGGACAGTGTCATTAACACACGTGTTGAGTTTGTGTTTGCATCCTGTCTCCGTGAGAATTTATCGCTTTAAAAGTTGCGAAGCACGGTGAGGAATTCCCACCCGCTGGCTCTGCAGGCCCTGTCGACAGGAGATGTGCAGCAATGCATCATGCTCGTTGGAGCGCGGAAATTACTTAGACTTTTATTTTTTATTTACTAAATACTACGCAGACTTAAACAAGTGTGGCTCGCTAACTTGCTGGCTAAAGAGTGTTTACTTAAAACAATATGTGTATTGCTCTGGTGTATTTTGTTTCAGAGGTTCGCAGTTCCAATCCCAGCGGCCGCCCTGGATAATATTTCGGGTTACATTCAGGCCGTCGTGTATCGGCGTCACGGTCCAAATTTTATCCAAATCCCCCCCCCCCCCCAATATTATCCGGAATTTCCCCAAATTGAGATGACAAATGCATAGCAGCGAACATCATCCCCCCCCCCCCCCCCACTTACTGGCCGATTAATGCCTCCTTGCTGAACCAGGTTCTGGGTCGCACAGGGACAGCTGACACTGGGGGCGACCTAAGAATCGTTTGAGATGAGAATTAAGGGCACCTTTTGAGTTTTTTTGAGGCATTGAATCGCCATGTACTGCAGAGTACTGTAACATGTGATATGTAACTTTGATCATTACCTGTGTAGTATCGATAGTTCAATGTGAATGTGCCATTCTATTGAGGGACTGTTGCTGTGTGGCGTTATCTTGGTCTGGTCTGGGTTTGTTCTGTCGTTGTTTTTGCTGCATTGCCCAGTCTTGATTAATCGGACTTTTTAAATTAATGCATTTAGTATGTATTTACGTCTTAACATTTAGTGAGTTGCTGACCATTTTCTCTATTTTGTACTCCTATCGTGTTGTTGTTTTGTTGTTGTTTGCTGTTTTTAATTGCCGAACCTGCCCATACTGGACATCTATTAAACAAGATTCTCATTCTCCATTTTTTGTTGAAGCATCACAACCAATGTTACATTATATAATTGTCAATGCTACATTACCAATGTAACATTACAAATGCAACATTACAAATGCTACATTACCAATCCTATCAATGCTACAATACCAATGTTCAATTACCAATGATACATTACCAATGTTACATTATTATCAATGATACATTACCAATGTTACGTAATTATATTGAGTGTTGCATTATCAACGTTATATTATTAAACCACGCACTGTTTATACGAACTGCGAATTACAACCGTGACGTCATCGACCTCCCGTGATTCCGCGCGCGCTCCTCCTCAGTGCCGACTCAACATGGCGAGCCAGGGGTCAGGTTCGTGTCCCACCGGCTACAACTTTACACTTTGGTGGTGGTGGTTCTTGTTTATTTAAACGTTCGCCTTCCTCCAGGGTTTGCAGTCGTTCGCTACAACGGAGGCGAGACCGGCGCTTCGCCTGCGGTCATTTAATCGCGGGCGGGCCGCGGGGTTTGGCCCTCGGTGATTTCGTGACCCGACATCCTGAGGCCTACACAGT